AAATAAGGTAGCCCTTTAAAATCAGATTACAAATTCAAAATAAAATGGTCACTCAAAAAATATAATGAGTACATTGCTTCTGTGAAGTCAAGCTCTTTCTTCTCACTGTTCTTTATGGTTAAGTAGACAACTAAACAATTTTATATGTTAAAAACAAAATTTAAAACATTTTCTTGAGGGTAGACTAGTTCTATACATCATAGCAAAAATGTTTATAAACTTACCTGAAATAAGTATTTCGTATGAGGTTAACTCTTTCGATGGTAAAGTTCCATCTTTCTCTCTTTAGTAACAAGCTCATTTTCAATGAACTTAACTAAAGATGGGTAGCCAATACATACCTTGCAATGTTTGTAAACACTGTCCTGTTTTGATATCCCAGATTTTAACTGTAGAATCTGCATTCCCAGAAACAAGAATATTGTCTTTGAGTTCCATTCCACTTGTTAATGACTGGTGCCCCGTTAACGTGTGAATGCAGTTCCCTGTCTCCACATCCCAAACTCGGATTGATGTGTCAAGAGATCCACTCACCACATGGATGCCATCGAACTACAACAGATACAGTTTATTAGAAATATAAGCACTCCTTTTTTTTTGAGACAGAGTCTCACTATGTCGCCCTCAGTACAGTGCTGTGACGTCACAGCTCACAGCAACCTCCAACTCTTGGGCTTAAGCGATTTTCTTTCCTCAGCCTCTCGAGTAGCTAGGACTACAGGTGCCTGCCACAACGCCCAGCCATTTTTTGGTTGCAGTTGTCATTGTTGTTTAGCAGGCCTGGGCTGGGCTCAAACCCGCCAGCCTGAGTATATGTGGCTGGCGCCCTACTCACTGAGCTATGGGGGCTGAGCCTATATAAGTACTCTTCTTATCTATTATTGACCGTAATCCTAATAGAGGAGGAGGAGAGAATGGGAAAGAGGTACTATCAGGAACAAAATGAGGTACTAGGATAAAATGGCAACAAGGATAAAGTGCATGCCATCAAGCAACATCAAGTGCATGTTCTCAGACACTCTATCAGAAATGGTAATTTTTATTCCCAGTTGCTTCAAACTAGATGCAGAACAACTTAACAAAAAAGATAAAGCATGTAAAATGAACAGTATATTATTTCCAGATTATCTGGCCTCACTCAGTTGCTATATACCATGGATGACTAAGTGAGGTTTTGCCATTTGGATTTTACTTCCCAGTAGGACGTCATAATGACACAGCTTGCAAGAGAGGGCATGCTTATCAGCACCTAAGGCATGAAAAAGGCTAGAGTTATCTTTCATGATGTTCAAAAGTAAATTATGTTAAAAACTGTGTGTTAAACAAACGCTCCATTTATGAGACCCTAACACTAACAGGAAATGTGCCAAAAGATAATTACATCTGGAATTAGATGTAATTAATGTGGCATTTTGGTGGCAAAAGAAAGCTACACAGCACATCTTCTCCAGCTTCCCCACTACACCAAAGACCCATAAATATTTACCAATTCCCAGAGATATGTAAAAATGTGGCTACCTCTTTTTTCAATCAAAACGTTTATTTAGATGAGAATATTACATTCGTTAAATTCATAAAACATAAAACCAGTTGTAGCCAATTTCTTCTCCTTCAAATTCATCACCTTTTTTAATTTAACGAACATCTCCACCATATGCCAATATTTCCTGACATGGACAGTACCTCGTCAGTTAAAAAAATATTGTAAGAACAGAATTGTCAGTGCTGAAATTATGTACTAATTTGCTGATTATTAATGGCTTTAACAGGTAAATAAGTTATGTAAGCAAAAGTATATATTTTTAAATTGAAAACGCTGCCTTTCAAGAAATAAAACAAAATCCATTTTCTAAACTTTTCATTAATCTAGTCAACCATCTCAAAATATGACAACCTATTCAAGGATATCAGGTCCAAATGCAAACAACAATAAAAAAATCAGTTTAGTCAAATTTCCTTTCTTACAACTAAAAATCAGTGGCGCTAGGAGAGGGGAGAAATGTTATGCAGAAAGGATCCACTTCCACTTTGAATGGGGATGGAATCGCAATTACATGGTTCATCAATTTTTAGCTATCAAGGCAAAGGGGTAGCTTTTGGTCAAATTAATCCTCAGCTAAGGAGTTTATTAAGATCCAGGTTACACTCTGATGAAACTATCTAATCATTAATTAATATAGCAAAATTTAGACCCCTGAAGTGTCAGGCTGCATGATAAATATTTGTATTTTATAGGGAAAATGAAACAGAAAATAGAAACCATTACAGCATATAGTTTTGAAATTTATGCTTTTTTCATGCCAATTTTAAAGTATATAAAGACATAAGGATAATCTGATTCATTTTTTGGGACTGCATTGGATTGGTAATTTGACAGTGATTATTTAAGTGAAACAATCTTATGATTCATCAGTAGAGCATCTAAGGGATGTGAGAGATAAAAATCTCTTACCTGTAATGAATAGACTCTATTAGTATGCCCCTGCAACGTGTGTAGACAGGTCTCAGTCTCTGGATCCCACACCTTCACCATAAAATCATATGCTCCACTAACAACCCTCCTGCCATCATATTGAACACAGCGGACTGCTGCTACATGACCCATCAAAACATGTAAACACTGGCCTGTCTCGATATCCCAAACCCTAAGAGTGGCATCTCGAGACCCGCTAACAACTCTGTAGGGGGAAAACAGAAAAAAAAAGTATTGGAATTTTTAATAACATTGGAAAACATGATAGAGGAAGTCGATAGTTTTAAAGTTTTTTTTTCTTAAGCAGAAAAAAAAAGAAATCCTATATAAAACTTTGATATATAATATCAACATAAAATATTGTGTTACTTTGATTAGAATAGGAAATTGGGAAACCTAAAATTCTCCCCATTTGGTTCCCTAATTGATAGACTTTTGTTCTAGCACCTTCAGGTTCTGTGAGACGGAGTTTGAAAACTACTATATTATATTAAAAAAGAAGAAGCTGACTCTAAGTATACACAATAAGTTCCTGATTCTAGAAATAAAATAATAATGTGGGCATGTGTATAAAATGTTAACAGGAGAACTCTAGGTAATAGTATTTTGAATAATTTAAATTTTCTTCTTTATGGTTTTCTGTCATTTTCCCAGATTTCAATTATGAACACATATCTTTTCTTGTGATTCAGTAAAAAATTCAATGAAGGTTATTCAACAAAACAAATAAGAATTTGGTATTTAAACGGCTAGAGATTATGTGTTTTATACTATATATTCTGGTAAAATTAACCAGTGTTAGACATGTCCTCAAACAAAGGATGCTTATGCTTATAATGATTAAACGTACAAATATTCAATAGGCTACAGTGATATTAAGACATAAGATTTTGAAAGATATATACATCTATTACACAATGGAAATCCCTTAAAATCTCGCTACAGATTATTAAAGCTACATTCTTCTTAAAAGCAGAGTAATACAAATACTGCAATCATTTTTGGATTATAAAATAAAGCTGAAAACTCAGGTATCCTTATGTCATTTCCAGGAGATATCAAGAAATGCCACCGTTTCCATATTTAAAAAGTAGAAAATTAAAGCATTATAAGATTTAAGTCAGAACACAATAGAAACTCAAATGCAAGGTCTCTTACTATCAATTCCCCTAATTTTAACAGTACAGCACACTGTGCAAAGTAGAACCAAATTCCAGATGAAAAGGTGTTCTCAACACGTTTCAGATGTAGTATGAAATCTGCTTAATGAATGGTTCTTAATAAAGAAGATGCAGACAGAATTAAAGGTAAAGACTACAGTCAGTTCATTGTAAGACATTTGAGAGCGACATTTTTAACGAATGAAGTAGAAATTACAGTTAGGGTAAATGAAGACATGTCAACAGAAAAATAAGGAAGGTTTTGTAGGAGGAGATGAAAGCAAAAGCACTGAGAAGAAAAAGGTAGGCAGTCCAGTTAGGCTGAAACCATTTTGAAAACTGACTGGGATGAGGATTTCTTACTTCAGTAGGGAACAGTAGGCTCCCACAGACTTAAGAACAAGGTAGTGATACTATCATAATTATAGAAGGGCTCTCTGTCATCTGAACAAAAGGTAAGAAGACCAAGTTTAAAAGTTATGGCTATAGTTCAAAATGAGAGAATAAATGTAAACCCACAGGCCTCAGCTTTTGTGTAGACTTAGAGGAGATAGGAGTGGGAGAAAAGTGGGTAGGTAATTAGAAAGACTCAGCCTTGGAGCCTCAATCACTACATTTGGCCCACCTGCATAAATATGAACATAAAAAAAGAGAGAGAAAATGATTTCTGTTTGAAGATGATGAATCATCAAGATACAGGAACAATAAAAAGGATTAGAGAGTAGAGAGTCTGAAGGAGGAACCCAACCAAAATATCAAATGAGGGAGGAGATCTAAAGACCATCTCAACTTTTAAGCCTATACACTATGGCTTTCTTAGAATATAAACCTCTAGAATCTAATAATTAGACCATTTAAGAGCATATTATCTCTATCTCAGTGACTCTACATAGAAAGGACCCAAATTCACAAGCAACAGAGGAAGACATCACAACCATAATGGAATTTTCCCTTACCTTTTTTCATGCAGATGCATACAACGCACAGTGGAAGTATGCCCATATAAGGTGTGTATACATTCTCCCGTCTCTGCATTCCACACTTTGAGAGTCCGATCTGTAGATCCACTAATGATGATATTGTCTCTCATCTGTGATGACCATACTCCACCTGTATGTCCAACTAATGTTCTCAGACACTGGAAAAACACTTAAGATGATTACTTTGGGGTAGAAAAGAAAGTGATTAAATAATATTTTAATAGTTCATTAAAATTTGGAATAAAATTATTTATTCAATTTGATTGGCCCATGAGAAAACATTTTTTGCACATCAACATAACGTGATCCATCACTATATTACTTTGTTTATTCAGTACCATTACATACTTATATAAGAACACACAACTGAGAAACAAGTATATAGAAAGCAAACACATGCTATGAACTACATGATATAACACATGTGATAAAAAGCAAAACATGTGATACAGAAGCAAATGTAGCTTTAGCCTGGCCTCCTCTATGATATAATACTGAAAACTACAACTTGGTTTCTTCCATAGAGATAGATTCAATAAAAGTACCCCAACAATGTTGGGTGTGGCTACATACCACATTTTATTTGAATGTGCCCTAAGGCAGTAGTTAGGAGCCAGCCAAGCTACTTCTAGACAAGTAAAAACAGACATTAAAACTCTGAAATAAATCCAAAACGCTATGGAAACATGAAGCTGCTTATTAACATCTGACTCGAAAGATTGTTGCCCAAGAAGCATCAAGGTGAAAAGACATTTTAAAAAACATATTCTTTCTTCTTTCACACTCTTTTCTGTTATTTTTTAAGTGGTCAATTACTTAATTCATGAGAATATCTTTCTAGTACACAGATAAAAATGCTAGAATTGCTTTTTTCTACAAACTCACATTTAAATACCTAGAATTTGCTTAGCTTATATCTCATAAAGGCTTAAGTCTAAATTAACATGATGCATTTAACTTCTAAACAATAGGTAGCTTATCACCAAAACAGTTCATGAAGAACAAATATCCCCAA